CCCATTACTTACAAAGCAGTAGTCTATTTTATGTTCCACTGTCTCGAGGCATGCTTAGCCCATATAGGGACTTGTGTAGCCTGCATACCTTAGACTCCCCCTGCCTTGCAGTATCCTTAAAATAACCAGGAGGCACCAACATGTACACTTACTCAACTAGATCACCTTGTAGAAAGGCATTATAAACATCCATCTGATAGAGAGGCCACCTAGATTTTGCTGCCATAGCAATAACAGATCTGACTGTCACCATTTTGGCAACAGGTGAGAACGTATTAGTATAATCTAGGACTTCCTTTTGTGGGTATCCCTTTGCAACTAATTTAGCTTTGTACCTTTCTACCTCTCATGTAGCTTTGTATTTAATCTTGAATACTCATTTGCATCCAATGGCTTGTTTCTCGGGTTGTAACGGTACTATACCCCATGTGTGGTTAAATTCTAATGCCTGGATTTCTTGTTACATGGTATCTATCCACTTAGAATCCCTAGCAACTTTAGCAAAGGACCTGGGCTCTACTTCTGAGGAGTAAACTGTAAAGGCATTTGGAATAAGCAGGCTTTGGATGAGTATTAACACACTGAGTTTGATATTGGATAAGTGCAAGCTCCTTTGCCCTTCTATTGGAGGAGATAATCCTGCATCCATATGGGTGGGTTGAATATTCTAGGAGGTCTTCTGGGTACAGAATGAACAGTATTCACATGAGGATCTTCTTCTGGTAATACTGGATTAGGAGCAGAAGATGACTCAGCTTGTGTGTGATCAACATGAGCCAAACAATGAGGTGAAGTGAGGTACTGAGATTCTTCAGCTAAGGGTGCATCTGAGAGGACAAGTGATACTCCACATTCTGGAATGGAGTTATCAGAAATCTCAGCAGTCGGAGTAGAACTAGTGTAATCTTCTAAAGTATCAGCATGTAACTGTGCAAGTATAGGATAAACTTCATAATCAGAATCATACATATATGGACACTGCTCCATGAAAGGAGTTATGGTGTCTGATGTTGTTGGTGATTGCTTATAAGGGAAGGTTTCTTCTTGAAAAATGACATCCCTGCAGATAAAAAAAACATGATTAACAAGATCAAACAATTTATAACACTTTTGCATTAGTGAATATCCTAGAAAAACTGCAGGAACTGCTCTAGCTGAGAACTTGTCCCATTTCTTCAGATTAGCAGCATAACAAAGGCATCCAAAAACTTTGAGGTGATCAAGTGAAGGACTCTTGTTGAATACCAACTCATATGGACATTTTCTACCTAGAGTCCTTGTAGGAATTTTGTTAATCAAATATACTATTGTTAGGATACATTCATTCCAAAATCTCAAGGGTAAGTTTGCTTGGAATTTCAGTGATCTTGTTGTATCCAAGATATACTTGTGCTCTCTCTCTCTCTCTACGACCCCATTCTGTTGAGGGGTATAGGGACATATGCTTTGGTGTGTTATTCCTTCATTGTTCAGCAACTCCTTCAAGTGATTATTAAAGAATTCATCTCCATTGTTTGTTCTAAAGGTTTTAACACATGAAGAAAATTTAGTTCTAATCATACCAATGGAGTATTTCAGTGCTACAACTGACTCATCCTTGGAGTTCATAAGACACACCCAAATATACCTGCTGAAATCATCCACAAGCATCAAGAAATACATTTTACCATCATGACTAGTCATTCTAAAAGGATCCCAAACATCTGCATGTATGAGTTCATCAAATGCATCACTTTTATTATTGCTAATAGGAAATGGCAACATTATTTGTTTAGCTAAGAGGCATACAGTACAATGTTCATCACATTCAATAATTTTTGCATTTCTAAACATAGGTATTCTCTTCATAGCATCTATAGGCACATGACCTAGTTTCCTATGCCACAAAGGACCATTTATTCTATTTATAATTTATTGTAAAGAAGTAATAAGGCTAATTGGCAATCCTGCTTCACATTTATTCTTGATGGTCTGGTCCAACACATACAATCCATGCTCCACTCTACCAATCCCCTTCACCTTTCCATTGCAAATGTCTTGGAAGACACAACAGTTAGGAAAGAAGGCATGAAAGAACCCTAGATCTTTGGTGAGTTTATACACTGATAGCAAATTATATATAAACTGAGGTACATAAAAGCATATTTGTTATTACCAATCCACTAAATATGTTGGAAGTACCTAAGTGAATAATCACACTTGTTTCTCTAGTGGGCAATAATACCTTCCTCATATTACTCTTAGGCAGCTCCACAAAGTCAATATAAATATGTAGAGTAGCTACCATATGATTTGTTACCCCCGAGTCTATTATCCATCTGTTTTCCCTGACCATACTGAGTAAGGACAAAGGTATACCTATGATCTTAGCATGCGATGCTGTATCAATAGAGGTATTACTGGTCTTGTTCAGCATCTAAAGCTGCTGGTGGTACTGTTCTTCTGTGAAAAAGTTTTCTGCATGTGTGATGCTTGTGTTACCCTTTTGCTCTTGCACCTCTTGTAGTCTGTCAATTTGTACATTGTGTGCTGCAGTTTAATTCCTTCCAAATAGCTTCCTCTAGGATTTGAAATCTGCCAGGTATCTAATGAGCTTGTAGCATCCATCTCTAGTGTGACCCTTCATTCTACAGTAATCACAATATAATTGGTTTTTCTGCTTATAACCTCAGTGAATCCTTGTCCATTGTTATGAATTATTATATTAGCTCCATGTCCTGTGTTATAGGCCATTGCTTGAGCTCATATATCTAAGTTACTGGGTCCAACAACTCTGGCTCTCTAACTTTCATCCTGCACCACCATTGCATATGCTTCATTAATGGTTGGAGTTGGAACCATTAGCATTATTTGCCCTTTTTCTTGTGCGAAAGATTCATTCAATCCACTCAAAAACTGCACCAAACGCTGTTACTGAATGTGTTCTAGAAACACTCTTGATTTAGAACAAGGACAATGAAGGAGTGAAAATCATAGCATCATATTCGTCCCACAAATCCTTTAGCTTTGAATAATAAGTGAAAACATGTGCTAGGCCTTGCTTCAATGCTATAATCTCATGATGTAGATTGTAGACTCTAGAAATATTTCTTTTGTCGAATTTCTCCTTCAAATCCTTCCACACATTATACGCAGATGACATCTATGCTATACTGCTATAGGGTTCTTTCGTCACATCATTCATTATTCATGATAATACAAATACGTTGCATCTCTCCCACTAATCATGTAGCTCCTTCCTAAAATTTTCCTTTCCTCCGATAAATCCAATTTTATTCTTCGTGAAAAGCTCAATTTTCATAGATTGTGATAGCAGATTGTAATTTTCAGTTCCTATCAGCTTGAATTGGATCAAAAGTTTCACTGGCGTATCAGAAGGTCGTAAGTACAATAGATGTGTGTGATCTAGCACAGTTTCATCATTCGTTACACTCTTTCCATCCTTAATCGCCATCTCCGCTCTGAATTGATAAAACCCTAGCTTATGGAATCAACAAACAATCTGTAATTGGACTCAAAAAAAAAAAGAGTAAACGCAAATCACCAGATGAGAATCAAAGATTTGCGCCGCTAAATCGTGGCTCTAATACCATATTGAATTTCTACTAGCTATGGAATTTAGGAAATGATAGAGCGAAAGGTAAGCTTACAGAGGAAGAAAATATTTTTTATTGCTCAATTAGAAAAGAGATTAGAAGATAATGTCTCGCTTACAGGAAGTACACTAACTACTTATGTTAATATAATCAACTAACTTAAATAGTTGCTAACTTTTACTATTTACACTTTGGTCCCCCAATCTTCTATACGAGCTAATTCTTCACCCTGGCTCAATATTAGGAAAGGAAAGTCACCTCTCAAACGAAGATACACCTTTCTTATGGAGAACTCAGACATACTCTGTAACTCGGCTTCCCCTATACCAACCTGTTCTAAGCAAGTTTTCGCCTTCAGTATTTTCTGCACCACCCAAGAAGACTGTTTGGCCACCGTGCCCCACACTTGCCCCTATTTGATAGGGTAGCTATACGCCCATTTGATGACCTAGAGTTGTAATATTATATTAATTGTGTAAAATATCGTTATCTAAGTTTATGTAACTTAAATTCCTGAATGTATAAATTTCATTTCTATATAGACAACAACGGGCTAAATTGAACATACACCTTAGTCAAATGCCAATTCCTATCATTGAATCCAATGCCTTTTATTTGGTGCCATCAACATTAAATGAAAACAAGACATATCATGACATACAAATATTCATACCGATAAATTGGGAGATCAGATTTATGTCTCATTATAAACGTTATTCAGTTATATGGAAATTTCGGTAGACATTGATATAATCTACTTACAACAAAAATCAATAAATAAAACACATAAATCTATTTAAAAATATTTTTTTTATTCAAATTATAACTGATCTGCAGAGTCGTTATATGGTAAAAACTGGTCAATTTGATTGGAAATAAGGATATCCAAATGTCATAAAGAATGCTTTGTGCCGGTCGTTTACATGTGCCTCACCTACTCGACAAGAAGTATAATTGAAATTTTGTCCTACATTACATGCTTATGCAGAACCCACTTCCAATAATATAATATATACTAAAATATAATATATAGTAAAATATTATCATGTCACGTCATTAAATATTTACTACTACCATATAGTATTACATTAACGCACCGGCCGCGGCCGGTCATCACTCCTTACTCATTATATCAAATGATTATAGAGGGGAATTGCAATAAAAGCTACCATCCCTTAAATTTATAAAGAGCATGAGTTCGTTATCAATTTAATTTGGACGTCACTGTCCAAAAGAATTATAATAACACAAACATGTTTTCACAGCATACCATTTATAAGATCATGAACAAAATCAATATAGGAAAGAGTGTAAGTGAACAGAAACGTGGTCCAAGTACTAACCAACAATAAATACACAACATATATATAGAATGAAAGTTCAAAAAATTCAGAAAAGCAAAAATCCTTCAAACAAGAATTTAATTTTACTCATCCGAGTGCTTCAAAATGCACTTTTTTGTATAAAGATGTCACTGTCCATAACAGCTGGGTAACAACAAAAGAGACTATCTAGCTAGGGTTTCCATTCCCAGTTCTAGATATCTCTTTATTCTGTTCAAAAAGCATAAACAAAATAATAATAATAATACAGATTTAACAATTACAGCCATTAGCATTCAAAAAGAGAGAGAAGGACGAAAGAACCTGCATTCTGCGGTACTATATATGCTTAGGCAAAGTAAATGGTTCTGTGCTAGCTTAAGGATATTTCTGAATTAACTTTGCCATGTTTTGTGATTCTGAGACTGATTCTCAATCGTCGTAGTATTAACTAGACCAGCTATGTTGAAAATATCGCTATGAGAAAGAGGTCTTAAACCCAAGAAATCTTTTGTCATATCATCATTACCATCATTTCCTTTCTTCGAATTCAAAATCCCAATGCCACCAAATTCATCTTCGAAATTTGACCCTTCAAATCCAGTAGTATTAGCAGAAGAAAACGAAGTCATTATAAAAGAAGTGGGAGATGGTGCACTTGTTAATGGACCTGTTACAGGGACTGTAGCAACAGCGGCAGCAGTAATAGTAGCAGCTTTATTCCCATATGAAGCTAAGCTATTGAAAAACCCAGTAGTGAGGTCTTCACGTGAGGACAAATTTAGTCCAAAATCAGTTGCGTTGTTGCTAACAGACTCAGCAGCTGCAGCAGACACGTGAAATTGGTGGGGTCTCATTAGCATGGTTGGGCTCGGGCCTGTGGCTGCTGCAGAGACAGTACTGGATTTGTTACTCATAGTCGCACCCATCTGTGCTGCCTTCTGCAGCAATGCTGTTGCAGAAATATGCGGAGAGGGTAGTGACCCTGTTGAACTGAAATTAAGACTAGGGTTAGGGTTTAAGTCTTGGCCGTGGTTCGGCGTGTAGTCCTGCTCGAACCTAGTGGATTGGAAAATCGACGAGCTTAGGTCAATGGGTTGAGGTGGTGGCGGACCAGGTCCAGGACCACCACCGCCAACCAACGGCTGGCAAGTCATTAGCCACGGCGGAATCTCAGGCCTCAAGTTGAAACCGGTTTGTTGCTCTTTCTTCAATGAAAATGCAGCTGGAAATTCATGGCTATTAAACTGAGATTGTTGAAACTGAAGGTTCAAGTGAGAAGATGAACCAGTTTGAGATGGAAGAATTGGATTTCCTGTTATTGCTCTTGCACTCTCTTCTGCTAAAGCGTCACAAAATGCTCTGTGTGTGATGAAACTATCCCTCCTAAACAAACAAAAAATAAACAAAAAGATTGAAAAAAACAAATATACTGACTACTGAAATATATGCAAAAATATTAATAATGCTACTCAATTACTGATGACTCTTTATGAATCATGTTCAAACGCCTTTGCTTTAGACCTCCAAGAATTAGAAACAAAATTCAAGATTTAGAGAAAAAAATATAAATTAAAGAGAATGAAGATGGAAAAAGAAATAAAGACAATTTTTGCATTGTAAAGGTATATGAATATTACTACTATGTGACTAGACTCTAGGGTGTGCTTTTTTTTAAATAGACTTTTTTTCATGACTTTGTGTATATGCTTTTAGAAAATATTGTATGATTTATTCCATGTTTAGTTACCTTGAGAAAAGAGTTCCACAATCACATCTATACTCTTTAGTACCACAAGTTTTAGAGTGAGCTTTCCAGTCAGATTGAACTGCATATTTCTTTGAACATTTCTCACATTTCCACTTCTTCTCACCATGTTTTCTGCAAAAGTGTTTCTTGATTCCAGTGAGATCTCCAAGTGCTCGAGATGGGTCGTGGTGTACACAACTTGGCTCTGGACAAACATAAACTTTCTTTCTTATTTCTTTGCTTGTTCTCTGCTTCAGTTTCCATGGTAAATTGTGTCCTCTTCTGTGAAGCTGCAAATTCTGATCTCTTTGGAATCCTTTGTTGCAGATTTCACAAACAAATCTATTGGTTGCCATTAGTGTCTTTGGTGATAAAGCTATCACTTCAGCACCAGGGTCTGTTCCAAAAAAGGGATAAAAGTTAAAAAGATTTTGTAAACAAAAATAAGGAAAGTAAACATCCTTTATTTTACTGACCTGGATTGCCTGGTTGGTTTCTCTTTTTCTTGATTTGATGTTGAGCTTGAATTTGTTGATTTGGAGGAGCAAAGTTATACTGAGGGGGATAGATTCCTCCGGTAGTATTATTATCATTTCTATTGCAAGAAGATACACTTGCTGCTTCACCAGATGCAGATGTTAAATTGGACATGTTTTCCTCTACAACAACAGGTTGATTTTGTTGATTCATAAAACCTTTTATCATCTTCTTCTTAGTTTTTCCTTCTTCAAGGTAAAATCTACCTGTTGATTGTGAAATTTAATATGAGTACAAAGATCTTTCCTTAAAATCAGTATAAATATGTTTGAGATCTAAAGACAAAAACAAACTTGGAAAAAAGATAAAGTATTAGGTGATATATAATGGACAAAATAAAGGAAAAAGAACACAGAATTGGTTACTTTGAGTTGTTTGAACCTGAAAAAACTTCAACTACCTTGTGGTTTCTTCTTCCTTTGGCATCAACCCACCAGACAAGTCTTGTTTTTTGTTCAAACCCCAAAAAAATATAAAACAAAGAGAAGAAGCAAGCTTAGGAGTTAGGAGGGAGAGAGCACTATTCTCATTCAAGTTTTCAATGGATAGTCTTGCTAAAATCAAGAAAATCCAATAATAACCATGCATATAAGAACAAATGAACTGGACCAAATTTCTTACAACTGTTAAGAAAGAGAAAGAGAGAAGAAAGAGGAGAGAGATATGGATGAGAAGAGGGAATCCTCTCTGTAATCCTCTCCACCCGATGAAAGAAGGAGACCACTCTACGGCTAACTCTGACGTGCACTTTCTGTCTTTTCTTTTGTTCTCTTCTTAAGCCCAGAAAAAATCTCTTCTTTCTTTATTGTATTTCTGCCTTTTAACAAAGTTCAAAAAACAAACTTTAAACTTTTTACTAGTAGTGTGGTAGGATATAAGAGATACTTGCACCTTTAATGTGAGGTTTAGAGTTCAAGACTTGAAAATAAAAAAAATTTCAATAATAACATTTCGGTTGTAAATAGATTACGAGTCGAATTAATCGGGACCACTGAGTTCTGAATAGCATATGGTTTTAAAAAAATTATGTCAAGAACACTTTTGCTTATTGAACCACCTTTCCCTTATCTCATAAATAAAAAAAAAGCAATACGGTGCACTAAGTTTCCGCTATGCACGAGATCCGAAAAATGTCGAATCACAAAAGTACAATTTTGCCCGGCATTTCTACAAGAAACTTTTTCCTAATTAACTCATTAAGTTAAGTGGAAAAAGCAAACCATGTAAAAAGAGAGTTTGATTTATAAGATTTTGAAATGAGAGAAAAAGTGAAGGACAGAGATGGAGATGTTGATTTTGCATACTATACTATACATTTTAGCATCATTGGTAAGAGTAGACCCCTCCTCTCAATGCAACTTTCTCTTATTTACATTGACATGATTGAGTTATTGATTAACTCTTAATACTAACATGCACACTGTTGCTTAAAAGTTTACTATTTTTTCTTCTTCTTAAGTAGCTTCTACTTTCTACCTTTCACTTCATTATCATTCATCCTTAATTTTTTTTTTTTTCAAAAGACAAACGTTGCAGAAATTTCTGACATACTGCAGTCCATTTAGAGTATTTTTCAAAAAAGGAAATGGAAATGGTGCGCTGCCTAACTTTGGTAAAAAATAAACACATGATACGAGTAAAATATCGGATATGAGATAAATATTTATCGTCGAACTTTATCCTCCTCCTTCTTCCTCTTTCCCGACTTAAATCCTAAAATTGTAAGGTAATTAACCTATGGACATTTTAGCAGTTCTTACTTCTTGATTAATTTCAAAGATCCCCATAATATTACCAAGAACATTTCGAAACCAGTGTATGTATTGAAATACGTCTATAATTTTTTTTTTACTTCACGGATCCCGGCGGAAGTAAAAAAGATATCAACCTGGAAAACTGAATAACTTTCTCGGGGTAAAAAGACTTCACCCTGAAAAATCTATTGCAATTTCATGACTAACAATGTACTATATCATCAGTTTCAATGTACTATATTAAGTTAACATGCACTATATAACCACCGGTAAAACAATAAAAATAGAGTGAATTATCGGATTAAACTATATTCTCCTGTCTCAATTTATGTGACGGAATTCAAATTGCAAGAGTCAAACCTCTTAATATTGATCGTAAATTCATAGAATCTTTTAATATTTTGAAACAAAATTCATAGATTTGAAAACTACGTAAAAAGTATTATAAGTCACAATAAATTAACAATTTAATATATCTAGAAGGAATATGAAAAAATTACAATCAAAGAAAAACTCAGACTCTCAAAATCGAACTACGCCACATAAATTGGGATGGAGGGAGTAAGAATTATTCCTCAATCTTAGAAGCCGGGACTATGTGTTTAGGGATAATCCATGTAATTAAGGATTAGTTGGGACAATTCCCAAAAATGAAAGAAGACATATATGCCAGCATATATATGAAGCAAATCCTACATAAAAAAAATATAATGTGCGTGCAAAAATTATTCAACATGAATTATCATCTGCAGACATTCAACATGAAGTTTCATCCATAGACACTTTTATCAGTTAATGTAGATCCATATGCCAATAGTATACAAAATATATAACAATAACAACCACAAACTAAGCGTAATCCCATAAATTGGGTCAGGAGTTAGTGTGTACGCAGACCTTGCCCCTACCTTATAGAGATAGGGAAGTTATTTCCGATAGACCCTCGACTCAAGGAACAGTGAGGATAAAGCAATAGCAAACAATAGTAACAACAATGTAATATGGTAACGGACACAAACGATACTACATGTAATAATAAAAAATCATGAATAGGAAATACAAAAATAGTGCTAGTACTACTGGCCAATAGTATACAAAATAAAAATAAAAAATATTAGAAATGCTCTATATTGTCTACTGGTTTATCTTTATAATGATTTTGTGAGAATTCTACAGTCACGCACATATGGTAAAACTCAGTGTGGTAAATTCAGTATCTAAGATTATTTATAAAATAAAGACAGTCTATTGTATACAGATCCTACTTTCTTTAGAGGGGAAACATAGGAGTTTATTAAGGGAATCAGAAATCAGCTTAGTTTCATGATCTCAAACAATGAAATTTTTTCTTTCTCGGTACATCACTACAATAGAATTGTCCTGAACTATTTTTCACCTACAAGAAATATACTAATTAGCATCTATAACTACAAGAGTTATGAGTATAAATGAGCCTAATAGCTGTACTACAACTATAATTGTATGTTGTAAATTGTAATGATATCATCTTCGAGTTTTCGGGATTAACACTTTAAAAAGCAAAGTAAATAAATAAAAAAAAGCAGTCTGGTGCACTAAGCTCTTGCTATGCGCGGAGTCCGAAAAAGGATCGAATCACAAGGGTCTATTATACGCAACCTTATCATGTCACTGTTTATGTGGCTTGAATCCGTGACTGGTCACATTAAATAAAAAATATTAAATATTTATTAAAATATGAAACAGAAGGTTGTCTTATTAGGTAGTGTTCAAATTTAAAAATATGAACCCACGTTTTACGAGGAAAAAAGTAAGGTAAAGTCGAATAAAATAATGGTATTGGTTTGTCATTTTCTTGTTTATTCTTCAATGATTTAGTTTTGGAAATGGGATCTTGCTCTACCCAAAGTCTCAGACATGCTCTCCCAGCTCATCTCTCACTTTTAAATAGTGATATTCTGTATCTGCTTTATTTTATAAATAAATAAATAAATAAATATTGTTTAAAAGGTAATCAGAAAACATAAACTAAGGGATAAAGCTCTAATTATGTGAGCTCCGAGAGTGCTGCTCGTGTTGTTCTCCACAAATTTATTAGATTCCATTACTAATTTACTATCAGAGTGGAGATCTCTTAACAATTCATGTGAGTAGATTGAAAACAGAAAAAAGAACGGGTTCGATGTAACTTGATAGAGGCATTTTAAGTTATATACACAATAATACAATTAAATTTTTTTCATTTGTTGCACCATGAGATCTCCTAAAAGATATCTACGGGTAAGGTGGTAACCCTTAATTAGTGAATTTGTAATTTAAAAATAAGGCAAATTTTTTACTATAACATGTAAAGATGACTTAATGTTGTAAAATTTTTTACGCCGTCAGAGATATAGTTTAACTCAAAAACTAAGCCAGAGAAAGATTAGTGAGTATCAACTTAATTAGGGATCACCAAGGGGTGTGATAAGATGAATGTGATCCCTCCGCAATCAATTAAAGATTTCAAGTTTGAACTCTAGAAATGAAGAAATTTACTTGGTACAGGAGTACGGCTTCCCCCTAAGAGCGGCGCAAATGAGAATTAATCAGGTTAGTAAGCAGGCGTGGAGCTAGAGTTTAGGTTACTAGTTCAGCCGAACATAGTAGCTTTAGTCCAAAGAAATAACTTAAAAATACTAGAATTTTGAAGTTATAAACTTCAACAACAACAGCATACCTATTATATTTTTACAGTGTAGGGTCTGGATAGGATATTACGTATGCAAATCTTAATACTATCTTATAAAAATAGAGACGTTATATTTTATAGACCTTAGGCCGAACTCATAAATTTCAAATTATGATTTTAATTTGATAGTAAATTTCGAGTACGGAATGGTTAAAGAAAATAGAGACGTAGGAAATCAAGAAGGGATGTTCACGAGGAGGCAAAGGGAAAAGAAATGGGTCCATAGCTAAATGATTGAGGAATTACAGGACCCACGAAAACAGAGCTGTATATAAATCATATTATGCATGACAGCAAGAGATGATAGAATAGAAGAGAGGTGTGTAAATCAGGGGTGGAGCCAGAATTTTCGTTAATGAGTATCAAAATATATAAAAATTACATGTCAGAAAATTAAGGGGAGTCAATACTAATATATATACATAAAATTTATTTCTTTACCTATCTATACAGTGTATTTTTCCCGTGAATGACACTCCTTCCTAGAATGTGGCTCCCCCACTGGTGTCAATTTGAGAAACAATTCGGGTTACGCAGAAAGAGTTAGGAAACAACTGCATAGAGACAATCCAACAAGTCCGATAACGATGTGCACATGAGCCTTCTCATTCTACAGTCCACATTTTTTGGGGAATAGCATAATTCGGGTATATAATATAAGAGGAAATTATTGCAAATAACATATGGATATTGGCACAAGAGGAAATTACATGTAGCATCACCATCATCAATCCTTTTGTTTCCCTTCGATTTCATTTATTTACAAACAAATTAAAGTGTACTAATACCACTAGCGGAGTCAAAAATTTATACAAAGAGATTAAAAAAAATACTAAAATTGTCACACTTGGGATATACTTAAAGCAATTTTTGAATTTCATTCACCATTAGTTTTTTAACACGCTTCATCTTTATTAGAGGGTGGTGATAAAAAAAGAAAATAAAATTCAAATTTTTTTCTATCTGTTTAAATCTTGGTGGACATAGTTATATGGAACTCAAAGGCAGATCTATGTGTAACCTTGCGGGGTCACTAAACCCCCTAAATTTCGGTAAAAATCTTGTATATGTATATGTGTATACCTTGAAAATTATTAACTTAAATTACTTGGTACTCTGAACAGTAAAAGCCTTTAGGGGATTCTTGTTAACAATAAAAGCCTTTAGGGAATTTTTGTTGAGTAGAATACGAGTGTCCCTGTCAGTCGTCGTATTAAAATTCTCGATCCGTCTCTGCCAATACTTATGATGATGAAAGATAATATGTATCCCGTAAAATTAATTGAGATACGTACAAACAGTCCGGACAATACAATTATAAAAATAAAATAAAACTTCAAAGCGTGTGGGTGATGATAAAAG